TATGTATGTATGTATGTATGTATGTATATATATATATATATATATATATATATATATATATATATATATATATATATATATATATATATATATATATATATATATATATATATATACAAGTAAATCACTGCAGGTCGTGATCTGGGTATATGCTGATAACCACAAGGAAAAGAAACACAAGTTCCCACGCATAATTCACATCTCGTGAGTACAGACTATTTCACATATATATATATATATATATATATATATATATATATATATATATATATATATATATATATATATATATATATATATATATATATATATATATATATATATATATATATATATATATATATATATATATATATATATATATATATATATATATATATATATATATATATATATATATATACTAAGGCAGGTGAACAAAAAAAATCAGCCCAAAGTTAGGGGGTGGCCTTAACAAGAGATAAAATTTACCTCTTAAATTTTAAGGTTTAGCGGTCAAGAGTGGTGATGGAAACATGGTAAACCACTACAAGGTCCTACCACTAATTATTTTATACTGAAACTTACATTTGGCAAGCTGGATTAAAATGAAGATTACCGTATATTAAAATAATAAAATGTATTATAAACCAGTCTAACATACCGTAAAAAGAACAATATACCCCGGTAATAAACACATTGCTATCATCACCCCCATTTGCCAGACGAGAAAGGGAAAGCGACCTTGACAGTGACCGCGGGCTATTTTTAGCCGTCCTTGTTCGGAGGTGGTCAGTAATGCATATTCTGTATATTTACTGATCATAATACTTATCTCCTATAAATAATTAATTTAAAATTAATTTTACAAAAGAATATTCAGTAAATGATCATGCTAATTCTTGAAACTACCGACAGTGGTAAATTTAGGATGAGAATGATTAACAGAAGTCACGCCATGGATTCGGGAGTTTGGTCCTTAATGATCATAAATGTCTGTCAACTTCACCTACCAGGTATAATGGTAGCCTTCCTTTTTCATGAACAAGTATATAATTAAAAATACTTGCAGTGTGTTTAATGTATTACAATATATTATAGCTAAATAAATAAACAAATAAATGCAAAATCTATTTCAAGTAAATGGAAATATTTTACCACACCAACATTAGTTCCAGTTAAATAACTGACTCCATTAAGTAAGTAACTAGTGTACAAACACGGTAAAATTTGATGCCAATACTTGATGAATTGGCATTTTTTTAAATAAACCATAAATAAATGGAAAAAAGATCAAAGGTGAAACATTATATTGTATGTATGTTGTGTTGTCAAAGGAAGAGAAACAATTGAAACTCAGTAAATGAGCAGTAAGATAAATCAGCAACCTAAGACTTGGTCACAATTTTCGTGATGCCATATGGAAGTAGGTCTACCATTAGACAATACTGTACATTATGCTTCCAATATCTTCCCAGGCAGTAGAATCTCCCTGTTTGGTAGCTGCCTAAAACTTTTAGTAATACATTTTGATACAACATGATAAATTAGACAAACAATGAAAAATAAACAAACAAAAGTTATTTACCAAGACCTTCTCTCTGAGAAACAGAGAGAAGATAAGACGGCTATTTATAGCCCCGCCTTTGTGGAGGAAGACCACACTATAAATAATTCATTAAAATTTATATTTTTTACATAGAATATTCAGTACATGACTGCAATTATAAAATATTGTGAATATATATATATATATATATATATATATATATATATATATATATATATATATATATATATATATATTTTGTAATAAATGTATAAATTTTCACCAAATCCTAATGAAACACTATTGAATTAGAATAGCTCGCTGAAGCAAGCTTATAAATTAAAGAAAATACTTCCAGTGTGTTTAATATATTACAGTATGATATAAATAAACAAATAAATCGTAAATCATTTAAGTAAATGAAACAATTGATTTACAACACCACATTAGTTCAAGTTAAATAACAAACTTTTAAGTGAGTACTACTAGTGTTTCACTACATCAACTTGACAACGTTTGATGCCATTACTGAATTGGCTTTATTTTAAAAACCAAGGATATGTAAACAGCACTGGTCAATGGGATGGTTGGTAAGACTACTGGGTCAGTAAGCCCCAATGGTAAGTGTCTTTGGGTTACCGGTCTTATACAGCGAATAGGGCTCAAAAGCTACTTTTTAAATGGAAATTTTGGGGGCGGTCTTATACACCCGTCGCCTTGTAGGCAAGATATCGGATATATATATATATATATATATATATAATAATAATAAATGTATGTAGTAAAAATGCATTAATCTTTTTCACTCAAATCCTAATGAAACACCACAATTAGAATACGGTGGTAGCTGTTGTATAAACAGTGAACACAGTCCCCACAGAGGCAGGGCACTCACACCACCGATCGTCTCGATGCAAAGCAAGCGTATAAATTAAAGAAAATACTTGCAGTGTGTTTAATATGTTACAGTATATTATAAATAAATAAATAAACAAATAATTAGAAATCCATTTCAAGTAAATGGAAAAATTTTCTAAACACCGACATTAGTTCCAGTTACGATAGCAGAGCGCTTCAGTGACGTTACTAGTGTTTACACTACACCAGCGGGTAACATTTGATGACATTACTTGAAGTGAATTGGCCTTATTTTAAAAACCAAGGATGATTGGTAGAGGACTACTGAGTCAGTGGGTAAGTGTCACATTTGGTACTGGTCTTATATAGCTCAACTACTTTTTAAATGGAAATTTGGGGCGTCTTATACCCGACGCCTTATAGGCTGAGATATCGGTAGCCTTTTTTTTTTTTACGGGATTAGCCCACCTGGCACAGGTCACTGACCCACATCGGGGCCTGGGGGGCAAAAATATAATAATAATAATTATAAATACAAAACTGAAAAAAAGGTCAAGAGTGAGAAACGATATACAGTATGTATGTTGTGTTGTCAAAGTAAGAGAAACTATTGAGACCTTGTAGAAAAGCCCAGGTTGCTGCCCTGCAGAAAGTCAGATCAGCAACCTGGGTCTTGGTCACAATTTTCTTCATGCCATATGGCAGCAGGGTCTACCATTAGACAATACATTATGCTTCCAATATCTTCCCAAGAGGTAGTACCTCCCTGTTTGATAGCTGCCTCAAGGGCAGTTCTTCTTTTAGGATGCTCATTTGTGCCAGTATCCAGAAGGGTCCTGACATTCCAAGCAGCGACCATAAAAGGTTGTATATTTTTTTTTTGTGATTATGATTGTGTTTTTGACCGCATAGGGATCACCTTACTGGGTGCGGTTGTTCAGTCAAGTTGGTTCTTTAGGCAGGCTATGTTTAGGGCACCTTTTCTAGTCCCCTCCCCATGTGGGGTGAGCAGAGTGGATCCTCGAGAAGGCTGCTCAGTTACACAGAGAGGACCGGATTGCATTGCTGCCTAGACCCCAGTGCATAAATGACCATCTTATTTATGCCACCCACGCAGAAGTTGTGACTAGAGACTCCCGGCAGGCGGCAGCTATCTCTGCCTGTCCCCGTCAGCATTCGTCTGTCGCCATAGGACTTTTGGGGGTATAGGGGTTTCAATGATGAGGAGGAGTATGATGAACTACAGGAGGAAAATACACACAAAATTATTTCATATTCCCTGCTGAAATGGAGGGCATGTCTTATATGCCTGTACATTTATATGCTGTAAAATACAGTACTGTACTTATTTTGTTAAGTTATTTTTATTATCTCCTGTATGTACTGCACAGTATATGTACAGTATGTGCAAAATCATAAGATATGTGCTGTGATAGCTGGGAATGTTTACATTGGGTTTGTGGTTTAACTGGGGCTTTTGCCAGTTCACACGGCTGTGAGATAGCTGACAGCCCACTCTCATTCTCTCAGTATTTTCATGAGTGGTTTGTGACAGTATCCAAGAATGACATATGAATAGTTTGAGGAGCATCTAATATCATGTAAAGTAACCATTATATGTAATAATAGAGCTCTCCATAACACACTTCACCAGTCATCTGTGAGATAGCTATGCATGTTGCCATTTTTACTTGTAGTGAAACTATAAAAGTTGTGGAAAAATTATTTCAATACTTTAATGTGGCTTAGATTTTGTGTATAAAAAATATAATATAAAAATATAAAATAAGAAAATTAAGAACATGGATGTGTATGTAAGGAGAGTTAATGTATGTGTGGAAGCAGTAGGCATTTGTCAGTAGTGCATCTTGTGACTTATAGTTGAGCCTATTTCTGTTTAAACACATGCACCTCAAACTCACCTTTTATAAAAGTTAACTTTATCCTCTTCACCACTTATTGTCAAGTTAAGTTTAAGTTTAGCTCAAAATAACTATTTTCTTTTATAATGTCTGTATTGTTTGTTGCCTATGTGTCACTAGCCCAACTGGCTGCCTCCTCCCAATGTGACATCAGGGCGTATATACAGTGCATCAGACACTCGTTTGAGTCAGCTGGCTGGATGAACTGCTTGGTTCACTTTTCAGCATAAAATATATGCTTATGTATTTTATTATGTGCTCTGTATCATTTGTATTGTTTATTATAGCAGTTGTTTTTTTCATTTATGGTTCAAGCAAAATACATAAAAACGAAGGACTGGAACCTATTCCCAATTACTCCATATTAAATGATCTACCTCTGGCAACACAATTTCTTTTGTTTACTCGATAACTCTCCTTTCACTCAATGGATTTATATACAGTACTGTATTAGAGGTTCTTGGTTATAGTTCTGACTTAAGTGATTTTGGAGCTAAAACCCTTCACTCAGCTGATTTCAGGTAAAGCATTACAAAAAAAAATTCCACTCAATGGCTTTCATTGAAAGATTTTTATGTGTTACACTATTTCTAGTAGCTCTACTTAACATAGAAATACCTTTTACCAATAATTACAGGTATGCAAGAAATAGGCAGGCATGAATAATATTCAAAAATTAATTTCAGTATATCAACATGTAAGTCCAAAACTGGTTCGACTGCATAATAGTGGAAGTGGGGGTGACTTACCACCACCTGGTCCATACAACTGCCCCCCCAACGTGTCCCAGTCACAGCAGGAACATGACCCTGACCGGGTGGCCCTTATTGCTTTTCCTGATGAGGTAACTATTAATCTTCACCATTTTGTCACTGTAAACTCCCAATTTACAGTATACGTACAGTAGACCCTTGCCATTTGTGAGGGTTGGTTCCAAGAGGTGCGAATTGGCAAAACCGCGAATAGCCACTTATATAATACCTCAGTGCACTAATGTACGGGTATACCTATACTGTGTATGAGAATCTTAAGTCACATTACTGTACTTACATTCATATGTGGAAATCTGGAGCTTGATGAGGTGGTGCACTGTACATAGGGAGACATCTGGTTACTGAAGCACAGGTGGATCATCAGGATCACTGGTGGAAGAGGGTGATGCAGTGGTGGTTGGTGGAGAGGCAGGATGGAGTGGCGCGTTACCGGGAGGTGGCACATGGCCGGGAGGCAGGTGGTGGGTGGCTGGGATGAAGAGGAGGGTGGAGCAGCAGCGGTACTAGCTGGTTCTTTCTTGAAAAATATGGTAATTGGTAGTTGTTTCCTCTTGGCATTGAGTTCTTCAAGCATTTCCTGATAGGAAAACAATACCTGGTTGATTCCTTGGACCATCTTAAGGCTGCATTCCAAGCCAGGTTTAATCATGTGGCCAGCTGCACTGCCACAGAAGATGAGCGTCACTCTGTCCTTGGTTGCCTTAAACCGAGGGGCACGTCTCTCCTGTTTGTTTATATATGTTCTACAAGGCATTTTTTTCCCAATATAAAACAGATTCATCGGAATTAAACACTTGCTCTGGTCTATAGCCTTTCTCTTCTATTATTTTCTTTAACTTGGCGGGAAATGCACCTGCGGCTGTGTGGTATGCTAATGCTGCCTCTCCAGTCAGCTTCACATTATTGAGAGAGAATCTTTTCTTAAAATTCTCAAACCAACCTTTACTGGCACTAAAAATTGGTTCAGTAGCCGAACTAGCCCCTCATAAAAATACGCATAAAGGCTTTTAGCCTTTTCCCAAATCACGCTGCTGTTGATCGGAACATTTTTACGGTGATGATCCTCAATCCAAATGTTCAGTGCTTTCTCAGTTTTCACTACAGCCTCGACTATTTAATTCTACTCGACTTACAATTACTCGCACTTCATTAACGCTCCTCAGTCGCACTCAAAATTTTGTCAAATTACTTATTTTTGAGTCCCAACGTCAGTACACAGACAAAATTTTTGTTTGTAATTCACTTTAAAATGGCTGACAAGCTTAAAAGTGAGAGTTTTGTGGTGCTGAGAAGAAAAAGAGACAACCATTTTAGAGTTTCTATGTATTATTTAAGCATTTTTTACTTACTACCATTTCGACTTACGACCTGGATTTGGGTCCCTAACCCCGTCGTAAGTTGGGGAGGAGCTGTATATTCTTGTCATGAACAACCTGCGCCACTTTAGTACTTGCAGGAGCACTCATTGAACAGAATGACAAATTGCTTGTTCATCTTTTTTATATACCTCACTGTGGATTCTTTCACATCAAACAACCGACCAACCGCAGCAGCACTCATACCCTCCTTTAACTTGTCTAATAATTAAATTTTCTTTGTCAGGGTCATCACTGACTTTTCCCTTTATGTTTCACTCCACTAGCATCACTAGCACTGACACTAGGCAGTCTTTTAGGGGCCATTTTCACAAAGAAACACGAAAGTTTTGAGATTATGACACGAGATGCTTGGTCATGGGTACTGGGTGAAGGCAAACAGAGCGAGATGAGAGGCCATGGGCGCGTGGGGTGACTCGTTGCGCTGCGGGAGAAGGCTCGCACGTTAGCTACCCGAGCCACCAGGTGCCCTGCGAATCGTAAACCCGCGAATGGGAAGGGTCTACTGTACTGTACTCTCAATTTAGCAGAAGTCATTTTTAAAATATTTTTTCGCTCGATTTAGTCAACTAGTTCACTAATCAAAATTAATTCTGTTAATAAGCTTACGCCTACGGAGACACCTCATACACATGATATATTAAAACCTACTTCAGCTTACAGTGAATGTACTAAATGTATAAAAACAATAAATAATGATATAAAGCAATTACCGGAAAATCTGAGAAAATAGCGAGAAAATCACTCCTAACCTTTTACCTCCTGGCCTGGGAACAAAGGTTCCTGCCGTTATGAAAAATTGCATCATGTTTAGCCACATCCTCACATGGTTGGTGCATAGGTGAAAAGACCAACAGCTTGGGTAACGTTGGATTTTTCTGCTCTGGCTCTATTTATAATTGCTGTGCAAACATAAATACAGTAATACCCCGATTTCGCGGTTTCGCTTTACGCGATTCTACGTTTACCGTCGGAGACAAGACGTGCCCCGCGCTCGGTTTTAGCAGCCAGGCCGAGTCTGTTTGGCCCTGCCCCCCTCCCTGCTACTATATCCGCGCCCTACCAGCCTTACTACACGGGATCTATTCAGCAAAACATTCTAGTGATTGATGAGCGATTGATTACCGAGCAGTGTTCTATAGTGCATAAGGAAAAAGCACCGCTTTTAGCAGTGTAATGCTGAAGTGTGTGACTGGACCCGACCCTAACTGACGGGACTTTCTCCAGCAAAAACATTCAAGTCATCAGTGCAATAAAGTGATTATCATACAGTGCTCGATATATGAGTACCCCAAGGAAAAGAATCCAGACAGTGGGCACTTTATGGGGTCACCTTCAAAGTGCCAAGACAAGGACCACCGCGGTGTTTACATATATCATTGAAAACTTTGTGTGGCGACCCCCAAGCACCAGGGACAAAGACCCACGGTCTTTCACGACTGACAAATATTAACAGCTATCTACCGGTGTCCAGTGGCCCTCAAAAGTGCCGTCGGTGACTTTATAGCCACGGAGACAAACTTTACTTCGTCCGCCCACAACAGATATCAACAGATGGCCACCAATCACTTACTCTGACGCCTCTGTACCATCTAAAGCGTGGGAAGGTTATCTGATGGCAGTGTTATCGGCGACTCAAAGTCACTGAACGCATATTCCACATGGCGTAGCCGTAGACAGGACAGTCATACATAAGCCCGTGGGACCGTAACACTCCTTTGAAACCCGGAGAAACCCACTGACAGACCATACTACGCAAAGTTCCACCGGATATGGTATGATCTCCGTCTCTACTGCTATCAGCGTCACTTCCCTAGCTAACAAGTTTGTGGCGAGCTACAACAACTACAGTCAGGTCAGCCGCTTGTGGCGTCGTTGCCATATGTGAGGCTTGACAAATTTATTGCCTGGCGTGTCATATTGGGGATATCTAACTCTTTCATCACCTTCGTTCACATAGGCAGCGGAGAGTGCCCTCTTCTGTCAAAGATGACCCTAAACCCGTCCGCCTGGATGTTCAAGTCAGCAGATGTGGAAAAGCATTATAGATGCGTGTTGTGCCGCAGGCCACCAGCGCCACACTACTTCCATCATGTCTGTTGTACCATCCGCCTGCTCACCACCGAGATATAACTCACTTATCAATCATCTCATTACCACCTCAGACCACCTCAGACCACCTCAGGTTAGGTACCCATGTGCCAAGTTAGTATTATGTGGGGATTATAATGAAATTAACACCACTGATATCCAGGACCATGTCCTGCTATCACAAGTTGTGAACTTTCCACTACCGGTCAAATACACTTGACCTTATCTTAACTGACTTAAGCGGTTCAGTACCAACCACCTCAGCAATGCCTCTAGCGGAATTTGCTTTTACACACTTATCAGTGCTCTGATTCACAGCTACATCACCTCAGTGCCTATCCAGCCTACAGGCCGATTACTGACTCTGCAGTGCGCCTCTTCGGGCAGTGGATAGTTCACCATCCTGGACTGGAAATTATGGCGTGGATAGCGTGGAAACCAAATGGATAAATTATGCCAACACCACCGCGAGCTCACCACCACTTCTTCGAGAAGTCGTCAGATCTCACCCAGCTGACTTGCCCTGGATCACCTCGGATCAAAAGACTTATGCAACAGAGAGACAGAGCCTTTCATCCTCAATGGCCACATCCGCTACAAGGTCCCTTACGCCTTGGCGAGTCATCCATGAAATCACTTTCTGAAAGTCCACTACTAACTAAAGAACTCTGTGGACCTAAACAATAAAGACACACCCCTCCCTTCCTAGCCATCTCACTAATGTTGGCGCGGCGAGCAGTGAAATAGCATTTCGCTACTATATACCCAGACCTCCCCCAGCTTGACACAACCACTCTCCTGCTTACCTACAGCCCCCCTTCCCACTGACAGTAGAAAAAAATTTGAAGTAACAAAACGCCTGGACAAACTAAAATTAAAGCGCTCTGCCACCCCCATTGACTTCAATAGAAAACTCTTCAAGGAGTTCTCCCCAGACTTAACTATTTACTATCTTCCATCATCAGTAGCCTTCTCTCGGTCAAGCCAGATGCCCAGCTGACTGGAAGACCTCTTATGTATCACCAGTGCCCAATCAACATACGATCCTTAAATCAACTCACGACCCTATTGCAATCACCCCCAATACCCAACCTAATCTGTAGAAAGTTTTTGTGTTCGACTGGGCTTATATACTGATATTGCAGAAGTCCGTGAACCCTCGACAATTGTAATATGAAAAACTTCCTCCACCACTCACTGTCTTGTCAGCTTTCGATTACATATACCTGCATCTCGAGAAACGAAAAATGTCTGTAGCTATGCTTCATTGACCTCAGAGCTGGAGAAGTCTTGCCAACCTGAACTTCTCAGCTGTGAGCTCAAGCTGTCTCTTCCTTCCGAGGGGCTGTCTCCACCTTTCAGTCACACCTGTGGCGTCCCCAAAGGCACACCAAGATGGGACCCACTCTGCTTCCTTATGCTCATCAATAATGCCCTAAAGAGGCTTCCTGTTTCGCTGGAAATATGTCTTGACTCCACCATTGGGATAAACGTCCAACAATTCTGCTCCACGACTATACACGCCCTTCAGGATTTATTGAACAGTCTCCCAAAAACTGGGCCACCAACAACCATGTCACCATCAGCCATACCAAGACCATGGT